TGGAATGGGGGTCGTTTTTGGTTCTTTTTTACCCTGCAATGCCCCTTTCCTGTCCATGTCTCTGAAAGGGTTTTTTTTTAAAGGTTTTTTTTTTTAACTTAAAAGAAAGTACCAGTCTGGATTCAGTGATTTTGAGTTTTGAATTAATTGAGGGTTAGAAAAAACGTTTTTCTTTCCTTTTTTTAATTTTAATTTTTAAAGCTCAGTTGAACTTCACAAACGTAATTAGGACGGTAATCTCACAGGTCAAAGGTTAATGACTCCACCACAAAAAAGGGGAATAAGAAACATATCTGACAAATGCATTATTCTAAAGATCCAGCTGAATATCTGAGACATGCTCCGCTGTCCTCCACCCTTATGAGTTATGAGGTCAATATTAAAATAAAGAAATCCTTTAGAACCTAATATTTATTTAAATTATTGCTTAAAACCAGACAGGATGTTGTTTGTTTTATATTTTACAAACATCAAAGTCGTTACTGATCAGGCTTCCGCGTCAGATTGTAGTATCTCCAATATTAAAAAGTTAAATCAGTTAAATTTCTTCTGCTACAGAAGAAATGAGGCCATTAATGGAACGATGATTTGCTCCCAGCAAACAGTAGAAGGATTCTTTAACAGCATTTCTACTGAAAGAAACAACTGCAGGATTTTTTAATCTGATTTCTTCATCTGATTTGATTGGATACGTAAACCAGCCGTGAGCCGCAGCCCTACATTCTCTGCTCTTTTTAGAGAAAAGATCCCAAACAGATCTGGAGGTTCTGAGTTTTGGTGACGCTGAGAAGCTGCAGGCTTTTCTTTTTCTCCTCAGACAATCTTTCAGAACGATTTCTGCAGCATTAAAAGATGAAATCCCATCCAGCAGGTTTTACCTTGAAACTGTCCCTGCGTGACGTTGTACTGATGACTCTCCTTCACGTGAGAGTCAAACTGCCAGAAGAGAACCACCATGAAATACTGCAGCTGGAGGAGAGAAACAGAATGAAAGACCAACCAGAACGAGGAAGGATGGCTGCGTCCCGACCGGAGGGGAAGCTCTTACCTCAGAGCGGGAGCTCAGGCTGAAGGACAGAGAGATGGAGCTGGAGGAGATGTTGGTGGCTTTGACTGAGGGAGGAGGCAGAGCTGCAGCACAGAGAGGAGGAAGCATTACACATCTGCTTTATGCACAGCTTACTGCTTCATCTTTATCTTAAAGGAAAAATAAATCTAAGTCTAATCTTTACCTCTAGTTTTATCACAGGAATGAGCATTACGAGGTGAAAAATGGATCCAAGCTGGGAGGTAATTAGGTAAATATTCTGGTGCAACATTTCCAGAAAAAAACAAAAAAACAAACTAGATTTCCATGATATTTAGATCCTGCTTTAGGATCCAGGTTGTGGGAAAACAGAGCAGGTTTCTTCTCTGCTCCGACTGCATGCTGGCGAGTTAGGAGGAGACGGCTGCCTGCGAGACGCCGCTGAGGGAAGCAGAGAGAGGGTCACAGCCACTCTCCATCGATTACTGCTAAACTCAACGGAAAAGGGAAAAGTCTTCACATTTTTCTATAATCCAGGGTTATTATTATTATTTTTACAGCTTTCTCTCTGCTGCTGAGGCTTTAGCGAGCCTTGGCGAACTGAGGACAGTTCAAATTTTCATATCCGTGAGCAAATCTAGAGCTAAATGTGATGAAACGTGTCACTGCCATCTAAAACACTGGAGACTTTTGAAATCTAACTTGACAGACTTTAAATGAACATGGGGGAAGCGGACATGTACGTCAAAGTGCTGCTAAGCTGCTAAGAAATGTGCATTTTCAGCTTAGCTGCGACTTTTTTGAGGATTAGTGCTGAAATGCAGCGGTGAGAACCCTGTAGTCTCTGCTAGACGAGTCTGAAAGTCTCCAAAGATGGCGACGAAGTCAGCATCACTGGACTGTGGTCTCCAGTTCTCCTTCACTAACGAGAGCAGAGCACCGGAGCAACCAGTTAGCTTCATCCACTAGCTGCATACACAGCGGTGTTGGTTTTATAACTTCATGATACTTCAGTAGATCTTAAACTCTCATCATGATTAGAATAAGTGCAACCATTCACACTGTTTTAACATCTTTATTTAACCACTGTGAAGGAAACCTGCATGACAACATATAAAGCCTTAAATGGCCAAGCTCCATCTGATATCAGAGATCTGATTGTTCCTTATGTTCCTAACAGAGCACTTC